TCTCGAACAGTTAGATTCTACATCTGATTATTTACGCCGAGTTAATTTAAAGTATAGATTTAATTAAATAACTATCCACTAAGTACACATACACATGAATGTGTATAATTATGTATAGATCTACAGTTCAAATCCACTCTGTGTACAATTTAGGGGTGTTCATAAACCCGCCCGCCCGACCCGCCCGAACCCGCCCGCAACCCGTAAGTTTCCAGCTGCAATTTTTTAAAAGTAGCATTCAAATTTTGCCACCCGCAAAATATGGGTCGGGTTTCGGGTTTTAATATTAAAACCCGCTCCTAACCCGACCCGCCCGCATATATGAATATAATTACATTTTTTTTTGTACTGGATAGCCCATTTAGGGTTTTCCAGCAGCTTCCAATACATTGCGTCTTTTCCCTTCTCCCTTCTACCGACTTCTCTGTTATTCTTCCAAATCTCAAATTCTCAATCATTCTTTTAGAAGCTACAAGTCAGATTCAAGACTCATTTAAAAAGGTAAGATTTTATTTATTGATGGAATTTTTGAACTTTTTCTTTCTAATATTGAATATATATAAATATATATATTTGGAAATTTGAAAGTGATGAACGACATATTATGAGAAATCTGAGATTTTATGTAAATGTTGAGATGTTCGTGATTTTTTTATTCCTTTGCTTGTTTTTTTTTTTTTTTTTTTTTTTTTTTGCATTTCTATTTTCCTTTTTATGTTTATGTTTTGTGATTTCTAATCTTTCTTTTATGTATGGATTTTTTAATCAAATGGAAAATACAAGTAATATTGTTGAAAATCAAGAACTTAATCTCAGTATTGATCAACAAGGCACTCCTGCAGCTACTAAATCAAGTGGCAAGCCACCTTCTGGACCAGTTCGATGGAAGCCCAATAATTCCAGAAAAAGAAAAAAAATCACAAACAGAAAAGTGATTCAGCCAAAAGAACAAGATCCACAAGGGGCTAGTATTGGGAGCAAACAAAACTCATGGGTATGGGAGCATTTTGAGAAGTTTGAGGAAGATGGGAATCCAAGAGCAGGTTGCAAGTATTGTGGTCATAGTTATGCAGCTCATCCAAAAATGCACGGCACGGGTAACTTGATAAACCATCTGCAACTTCAATGTAAGAAGTATCCTTATCGACTTGTTGACGATAAACAAAAGACACTTGTTTATGGAAATGATGCTTCTTCTATTACTCTGAAATTTGTGAGTTACAGTTATGAGGAATGTAGGCTTAAGTTGGTTGAAATGGTTATCCTTGATGAGCTTCCTTTCAAGATTGTAGAGGGTGAAGGATTTAAAAGATACTCTGCATGTTTACAACCTAGATTTACACTTCCAAGCCGCATAACTATTGCTCGAGATTGCATGAAACTTTATTTTGATGAGAAAAACAAACTTAGAAGCCTTATCAAGTTTGAACGTGTGTGTCTCACTACAGATACGTGGACTTCCATTCAAAATATCAATTATATGTGTCTTACAGCACATTGGATTGATAAAGAGTGGAGGTTACAAAAGAGAATTTTGAGTTTTTGTGCCATCTCTGATCACAAGGGTAAAACAATAGGAAAAATGATTGAAAGTTGTTTGTTGGACTGGGGGATAGATAAGATTTTGACGATCACAGTTGAAAATGCAAGCTCGAATGATGGTGCAATTAAATACGTGAGAAAGAACACTAGAGGGTGGAAAACTACAATATTAGATCATGAGTTTTTGCATGTTAGGTGTTGCGCACACATTTTGAATCTAATAGTCAAAGATGGTTTGAAAGAACAAAACGAATCAATTCTGAAAATTCGAAATGGTGTCAGATATGTGCGCTCATCTCCGGCTAGACTCAAAACATTTACAAAATGTGCAAATGTAGAAAAGATTGAAAGCAAGTCTTCAGTTTGTCTTGACATTGAGACAAGGTGGAATTCTACATACTTAATGTTGGAGGCTGCCACAAAATTTGAAAAAGCTATTGAGCGGCTGAAAGAAGATGACTCGAATTATAAGATTTACTTTAAATTGGGTGACAAAGATGATGAAGACAATGATCGAGATCAACTGATTGGTGGGGAGCAAACTTCTGAAAAAAGAAAGGCGAAAGATAGCAAATATATTGGTCCGCCAAATGAAGATGATTGGACTGTTGCTAGGTCATTTATAAAGTTTTTGAAGCTTTTCTATGATGTAACCAAACAATTTTCTGGTTCTTTGCATGTGACATCTAATTTGTTTCTTCAAGAAATCGTAGTTGTGCATGCTAAACTGAAGTACTTGTCAAGACACAATGATCCAAAAGTGAGCCTTATGGGACTCAAAATGCAAGAGAAGTTCGTTAAATATTGGGAAAGTTTTGATAAGCTGAACCTTTTTGTTTATGTTGGAACTGTATTGGATCCACGGTACAAATTGAGGTTCGTAACGTTTTGTCTTAACCAAGTTTATGAAGATGATAGTGCCATGTCGAGTTTAATGGAAGATGAAGTTAGAAAAGTATTAACTCGTTTGTACGAGTATTATAAGCAGCGCACTCCTGGTCAAAATTCTGAAAATGTGACTTCAAGTTCAAGTCAAGCTCTCTTTGATGTTATGGACATAGATGATGGTCTGGGAACTGGTAAGTACTTAGCTTCTCAATTTGCAAAACAGTTGGAGAAAAATGAATGTGTTAAAAGTAAGTCAGAACTTGCTAGATATTTAGAAGAGAGTTGTGAAAAAGATGTGGAGTCTTTTGATTTGTTGAGATGGTGGAAGGAAAATTCTATCAGGTTCCCGATTATTTCTCAAATAGCTAGAGATATTTTGGCCATTCCCGTCTCTACGGTGGCATCCGAATCAGCATTTAGTACAAGTGGACGCATTCTTGATCCATATCGAAGTTCTCTTAATCCTGAAATGGTAGAGGCTCTTGTATGTTGCCAAAGTTGGTTAAGATCAAAGCCAACAACAATTGACATACTAGAACTGATGCGAGAAGTGTCAATTACAGATGTCGAGAACTACAATGAACTTTTAAAAGGTAAGTTAATTTAAACTTTCATTCATATTTTTTTCTTTCTACACTTGTATATTTTTTATTTAATATAATTGTATTAATTCTCAGTACTTGTTTACATTTCAGAATTTCAAAGTTCGGGTATTTCCAGTACCACTACTCATTGATGGATAATTATCTTGCGTTGGTAAGTGATTTACTTAAGGACGAATAATAATCTGATATATATATATATATATATATATATATATATATATATATATATATATATATATATATATATATATATATATATATATATATATGGAGCATGGACGGAATCATTAGCTTTTGTTATACAAATTTTACATGTTCCAAAAGAATAATTAGTTTTGGTTTTTTTTTTTCTTTTGTTTGTCTTTTGTTTTCTCCAGGATCCCATGTTATCAAAGATAGTATCACATTTATAATGTGATGGTGCACAATGATTGATGGACAAATGGGTGATTATGGTCTTTTGTAATTGTTTCTTGCTTTCCTTTTAGATTTCTGAAGATGTAAGGATTGATGATTATCATTTTGTTAAGAAACAGAGGGTGATTGTGGTTATTTTGTAGTTGTTTCTTCTTTTACTTCTAGATTTCTCCATCAGATGTAAGGATTAATGTTGATAATCTGTTATTTTGTTTCAGAATTTAATTTTAATATAATTATTCTAGTATTATTATAATATTTTTTTATTTTAAAGTTCATATTTTGTATTTTGTCCACCAACCAACTTGGTATTGCGTACTTCTTCGACCCGCTAACCCGCCCGCCACCCGCCCGTAACCCGCTACACCCGAACCGTGCAGTTTGTGGATTTAAATAAGCTTATGCAGTTGGCGAAATTGGTAACCCGCAGGTGTCGGGTCGGGTTGATTTTTTTATGAAAACCCGCCCAAACCCGCCCGCGTTCACCCCTAGTGTACATAACCAGGGGCAACATCTAATTTCCGTCAATTCCCTCACTTGTATGATCCGGGAAAAAACAAAAAAAAAAAAAAAATACACACAAAAATGTCTTCCTTCAATCATGCTAATTGCGAATCACATCTTGTTTTAAATAAGTAAATGAAATGATACCTAATCCTCCTCAAAGGTCAAATCATAGACTAACTCCCCTTAGCTATTCCCAGCTGGATACGCGGTTTGAATTTCTCATATCATATACAAAAATAGGAAGAAAAAAAAAATAGCCTACAAGGTGATTTAATTGATGGAATAAATAAAATGCAATATTCAATTATACAACTTTTATTAAATAATTGGCTATCTCATGAAATTCCGGTTTATAGTTATACAAATGAAATTAACAAAATTCTATTAATTTAACAATATTAATTTATCGAACTAATAATTTAGTATATTTTTACCAAGTCATGACGTGAATAAATTATTATTTAAGCGACGTTATTAATTTATAAAAGTTCTATTGTACTATGACACACCAGTTAGCATAGAAATTTATTGAGGTTTACCATTTATAAGTACACAAACACCCACACATCCATCGGGTGTAATCATCATCGAATATAGCATAGAAATAACCATGAAATTGAGTGAAAACTTTTAGTACTGGCTCAAATAGTAATTTACAAATTACATATATTTATATAGCATGATGAATTCTCCATTGAAAGGAAAAAAGAAATAACATTGGATAAATAAAATTCTCGTTGGGGCCAACTAACTTTTCTTAAACTGGAAAAAAAAGTCTTCTCACATCAAGTAATGAAGTTTGTTATTTTGATTTTTATTCTTTATTTAAAAACAAATTAAAAAAAATTAATTACTACTACATGTTTGCACGTTCTCGCCAACATGCTTCCAACAAATTTTATTTTCGCATGTCCTCCTGTCCTAAAAAAGACCTACTGTTTATCTATACTTTCTCAAAACAAACACTCGATCTCTACATTTCCATAATACTAGCTCCTCTCCTTGCGTGGGCGATCGCCTTATGCGCCGACCACCGCCGCCGCCCTAACTCCACCGCCACCGCAATGGGAGGAGCAACCACGGCCGTCGGGCCGAAACCCCACTCCGCACCTTCAGTACGTGTCTTCTCCACCATTCTCATTCTAACACATTTCATAAATGCAGTGTTCGGAGACTCATCTCCTTCATTCACCCCCACCGACAACTACCTCATCAACTGCGGCTCGCCGGAAAACACCATCCTCGACGACGGCAGAACCTTCAAATCCGATTCCCAATCCGCCTCGTACTTATCCACCGACGAAGATATCCTAACCTCCATTCCCTCCTTCCCAAACACCCTCTCTCCTTCCTCCTCCTTCCTCCCATTATACCTCACCGCAAGAATATTCCACCACGAATCTATCTACAGATTCCTCATCTCCAAACCCGGCCGCCATTTCCTCCGCCTCTACTTCTACCCTCTCCCCCACCCCACCTACAATCTCACCTCCTCTACTTTCACCGTCGCAACTGACGATATTGCCCTCCTGCATGGCTTCTCGTTAAAAGACACAACCAAAACGGTGCTTAAAGAGTACCTAATCAATGTAACAACCGACAAACTCACACTCAAATTCTCCCCCATGAAGAACTCCGCCGCCTTCGTCAACGCCATCGAGCTCGTCTCCGCCCCGGACGAACTCATCCCCGACTCGGCCGCCGCCGTCTCCCCGGTCGCCGACTTCAACGGCCTCAAAACTTACGCGCTCGAGGTCTCCTACCGGATCAACGTCGGCGGGCCCCACGTCACCCCGAGGAACGACACGTTGTCGAGGACGTGGGCCCCGGACGACGAGTTCATGACTTTCAAACAAGGGGCGAAAAAGGTGTCGGTCCCCACCGACGTGATTGAGTACCCCAAGGGCGGGGCGACCCCTCTGATCGCCCCGTACTGGGTGTACTCGACCGCCGACCAGATGGAGGATTCGGGTACATCCGACCCGAATTTCAATCTGACGTGGGCGATGAGCGTGGACCCCACCTTCTCGTATCTCATACGCCTCCACTTTTGCGACATCGTAAGCAAGGGGCTCAACGAGCTCTACTTCAACGTGTACATAAACGGCCTCGTCGGCGCGTCGGGCCTCGACCTCTCGACGCTCACACTCGGCCTAGCCGTACCGTACTACAAGGACTTTGTCCTCAACGCCTCATTCATCACCAACGGGACGGTCACCGTCCAAGTGGGGCCCACCTCGAACGTCCAATCCTCGATGCCGAACGCCATACTCAATGGTTTGGAGGTGATGAAGATGAGCAACTCCGCCGGGAGCTTGGACGGATTGTTCTCCGCCGACGGGACCTACCGAGGCAAGAAAACCGGCAACGCTTCCATGAAGGTAGCCGCCGCCGTCGCGTTAGCGCTAGGGGCAACGGCGTTGGTGTTGCTCTTGGTAGGGATATTGAGGTGGAAGAAGAGGCCTAACAAAGGTGGCTACGAGAAGCAAAAGACCTTCTCGTCGTGGTTCCTCCCTCTAAACACGAGCCAAATCTGCAGCACGTTCATGTCGAGCAAGAGCAAGAGCGCGACTTTCACGAGCACTTTCAACAACACGGGGCTCCATCTCGGGAAATGCTTCACCTTCAACGAGCTCCGCGACGCGACGAAAAACTTCGACGAGAAGGCGGTCGTAGGTGTCGGAGGGTTCGGAAAAGTGTACCTAGCTAGCCTCGAGGACGGGACCAAAGTCGCCATAAAGCGTGGCAATGCGTCTTCCTCCCAAGGGATCAACGAGTTCCAAACCGAGATCCAATTGCTCTCAAAGCTAAGGCACCGACACTTAGTCTCTCTAATCGGTTATTGCGACGAACAATCCGAAATGATCCTAGTTTACGAGTACATGGCCTACGGCCCGCTTCGCGACCACCTCTACGGCTCCAACTTGCCCCCGTTATCGTGGAGGCAACGTTTAGAAATTTGCATAGGCTCGGCGAGAGGGTTGCACTATCTCCACACGGGGTCCACGCAAGGTATCATTCACCGAGACGTCAAGACAACAAACATCCTCCTCGACGAGAACTTCTTGGCTAAGGTTTCCGACTTCGGCCTGTCCAAAATGGGGCCGTCGTCGCTCGATCAAACGCACGTGAGTACAGCTGTCAAGGGTAGTTTCGGGTACCTCGATCCCGAGTACTTCCGAAGGCAGCAACTTACGGAGAAATCCGACGTTTACTCGTTCGGAGTTGTACTCTTCGAGGTGTTGTGCGCTAGGGCGGCACTTGATCCTTCGTTGCCGAGGGACCAGGTGAACTTGGCGGAGTGGGCGAAGATGCAGAACAAGAAAGGGTCGATAAAGAAGATCGTCGATCCGGTTATAGTCGGAGATATAAATCAAGATTCGTTGATAAAGTTCGTCGAGTCGGCGGAGAAGTGTTTGGCGGAGTACGGCGTCGATAGGCCTTCAATGGGGGATGTGCTTTGGAACTTGGAGTTTGCTTTGCAGCTGCAAGGGGAGAGTACTACGGCGGCAGCTTCGAGCTCGGGTGGCGGTGGTGAGGAATCTAAAGATGCTGTCGTAAAGATTGCGAAAAACGAGGAGTGTGGTACTAATAAGGAAAGTAAGAAAGAAGAGGAGATGATGATTGTTGTTGATGTTGATCATATGAGTGATGATTCTGGGGTGGTTGTTGCTAATCCTATGTTTCTTGAAAATTTTCAAGGGAGATGAGAGAGAGAGAGAGAGATTTCATTGTTGTATTGCATTCTCATCAAAGTTTGCTTCTTTGATTTTCTTTTTCTTTTTTTTTTTTTTTTGCTGCACATTTTTTTGAAAAACTTTGTGGAGGGGTTTTTATGCATGTAGTTGAAGGAATATTAGTAGTGAAATTGGCTTTTGAAAAAGCAAAAAAAAAAAGTTTGATGTACTTTTTTTGTTTAATCTTCAAATGATTCTGAAATTGTTTTCTGAAGATTGTTTGAAGCAGATATAAATCCAATTGATTTCTTGTTACATTCTGAACTGCTTATAGATTGTGATTTTTCTTTTTCTTTTTTGTTTTGGGTATATTTTGCAGCAATTTCTATATGCTCAACTTGTTATTGAAGTGTGGTTTAACATTTTTACATTTTTACATCATTCTATTATCTTTGACAATCGATCACTAATATGATCTTACAGTATGAAATTAACCTTGTCGAAATATTTCCAATTTTTTTCGAAACTACATAATTTATTCCAATTTCAATTCTAAAATTTTCAAAATCTTGAAATTCAATAGAGCACCAACTACTCATGTGATAAATTACATGAACTATGGAAAATTTTGGAATTTTGAAAAATTACATGAGTTTTAACATTAAAAAAAAAAAAACCGGAAACTTTCATATATTTTTTAAAATGAGAGCACCAACTACTCATGTGATAAATTATAATATTTTATTAAATAGAAATAGTGATTTCAATTGCATTATGCACTGTTGAGTGTAGATTTTACACTCAATACGTTTACTTTACGTGGATCTTTTGTTTAGATTTAATTATATTTGTGCTTTAATAGATTGATTTTGTGTTTTATAGGTGAAAAACGAGAATTAGGTGTCCATGAAGGAAAAAAGATAAAAAAGAAAAGAAAAAGTTGCAAATAAGGAAACAAATCAAATTGGAAGAAGGAATATCGCCATAGCTTTGACAGTGTCCACCATTTCGAGCATATCTCTCTCATACTAACTCTGAATTAGGTGATTTTGATGGCATTGGAAAGCTAATTTCAAGGGCTACAATTCTTATTTACACAACATTCACAAATTCGGACTCCAACATGGCACAAATCGACGAACAAATCGTGATGGGGGAAAGTGGCGGAAATTGATTCCTATTAGGTTTCTACTACTTCCTTATCAAGAAAAGCCTATAAAAGCAACAAGTCTCTACACCATAAGCACGAAATTTTACACCACAAACCGCGAAGAACGAAGATCAACGAAGACTCAAGCATAGTTTTTCTTATTTCTTTTATTTATTCTATTTTGTTTATCATAAGAATTACGAGTAGCTAAACCTTTTAATCTAGGATTTTGTTGGAACCCTATGTGGGGATGGTGAACCCGTTTTCTTGAGATTATGCAATTTTGATTTTATGATTATTTCTTCTACTTGTTATGATTGTTAGTGCATGAACCTGATCAATTTATGTGTTTTATCAGTGATTATTGGGATTGACTCGACAGAGCTATTTTGATAATTAGACGGTAAATAGAAGAGCCTTCGAGTAGTTTTCACCGGATGAGTGTGTCAATTGCATGTGGTATCATAGACATACAGATATCATCTTAGGTAGCCATTTACGAGACTTGTTAGTTAATGCTTTATTCATAATTGGTTTGCATAGACATATAGTGAACCGTTTATGATTAATAGACTCATAATACACGCGACAGCGGGTTATGAATAAATTAGTGTCTTGGGTTAATAATCATGAATCATATATTTCATAATTGAGGGGTTTTGGGTGAGCAATTCTTGCATAGGGGGAAGATAAAATTCTAGATCCATTTTATATTGATATTTTCTCGTGATTCTTTGCTTTCTTAATTAGTTTAATTGTTTAATTGATTTAATTCGACAAACTTGCGTAGGCTGGATAAAAATCATAATTGTTAGAATTTGGTACTTAGGATTAGCTAATTTGAGTATTCCCTGTGGGATCGACATCCGACTCTCACGAGTCCACGTTTACTACTTGTTTGCGATACGTGCACTTGCGTGTTAGGTATTTAGCCCCAACATGCACCTACTCTCTTTCGTTTGTAGACACCTATTTTAAAATACCACATAAAATTCTAAACCACCGTAATTATAAGCGGTGGTGGAACCAGGTATATATAGTTGGGGGGCCGGAATTTTAGATGGTATACTTGCTCGAGAGTACTTACTGTAGTCGATTTTTTCTAAAGATATTACATATATAGATAAATTACGTGAATGTGTGATATTGTTAAAAAATATAATGAAAAATCAAATACTGATTAGAAATATAGAATCAAGAATCAAATTTGAAAGTAAACTAAGTTGACAAAATATAAATATTATTTCTCAAGGTGGCAAATACATAACAACATATAATTAAAATAATATATTAGTAATTAGTAGTAAATAAGCAAAATCATGGGGTCATAGCCCCCCTGCCTGCCCAGTGTCCACCTCTAGTTTCGCCAGTGATGACAAGGATACTTACGTGAAAAGTAGCAAATGAAATACTTGGCGCTCCAACATGAATGGGAAAAATATGTATAATTAGCAAATGAAAAGTAGCAAATTAAAAATATGTAAATATTTAATTTATTTTACACTAAGTAAATTATATATATATATATATATATATA